TTGATCTCGGAAGTGATGAAGAAAACACCAAAAGCAACGATCAAGAAAAAAATCCAATTGCATATTTGCCTTCCTGCGGATTAAAGTAAATGCACATTAAGAAGCCATATAAAAATTGGTCAAGAATCAAGTAAATAAATAAGTCTGTTTAGCCCTAAAAGATTGGTGAAGAACAGAAACAAGGTCTTTGAGCCTTTCAAGGTCCATTTGCCCATTGTTGGAATACATACTGTAAGTTTTAAAGATATCATCAACTACAGAGATTAAAGTGAAACAGGCACACTCCCAAGGCACTCAACTTGCTGGACAATCTTATTTTGTGCAATAATACCGGGAAGCTTATATTTTTGCAGAAGTTAGCATTTATTTGATGTCAATCCTTCGAAGCATACTGATGCTAAGTTTCATTTTCTTTTTTAAAAAATCCACACTCATTTCCAACCACTTAGTAAACTTAAATTGTATTTGCACCAGAGCCAGTTGCATTTGATCGAAACTAAGAGAACAATCCAAAGAAGCACTTTGCATAAATTATTAAAGGGATAATTACTAGAAGACTACTTCCAATCATTTGAATAAAAAATTGAATGAAAAATTCGAACACAGCAATAGAATCTACAAGAACAAGAAGGCAACCATAGACCCACTAGGATAGGCACATGCAAAGCTTCAATGGCTGCACCTTTACTCAAATGAACAAGAGCATACCCATTCTCCTTGGAATCCGAAAGGGTAGACCCAACAATTTGTTTCACTTTCCCCTGAAGCCAAATCAACATAACAAGTACAAAAAATCAACAAAACACAAAAACATAACTGGGCTAAATACACACACATATAAGAAAATGAGAAGACCAATAACCATACCACTATTGGAGCAAACCCTAAGAATCCAAAACCAGTGCTCTCTCCAATCCCAAACCCAACACTTCCAACCGCACCCAAAATCCCATCAACTCCTCACCCAACCCTCACGCTCTCCCCAACTTCTAACCACACCCACCTCCTCAGCTTCCTCAAAACCCATATAAAAAACCCACCATTTCGACCCCAATCTTCCTCAATTCTCTCTTTTGTTCAGACTGTGCTTTGAATTTTAACAAGGGGGAGTTCGATAAATTTGGAGAACAAAAGAGAGAATTGAGAAATAAAAAATGGGAAGAAAGCAAAAGCCTAATGGAGAGACAGAGTTAAAAGGCTAACGGAAGAATGCTAACGGAAGAAATAGTTAAAAGGCTAAAAATAAATTATTACATGTGTCTTATTCCTATTGGTGGGTACACCAGATTTCTCATTAAAATGGCCCTATATTAAAAAAGTAAACTTTTTTTAGCAATTTTATTTATTTATTTATTTTTTATATCAAGGTTACAGAAAATACAAAAATAAAAGTCGGATAACATCAAGGTTCGAAAATGTTAAACTTATAAACCACCATAATAATTACGGCTACTTGAATCTCATTGAATATTAAAATAATATTTACTGTCAAAGTATTTATATATAATGCAGTTTGCACCATTCAGATGATATTATCTTACAAATGACTGGACACGTTCCATTTAATGGGGCAACCTCATAGTAGTGGGAAAAATAAACCACTTGAATTATACTGCATAGTTTTAATTAACTTCTTAAATTATATTACTTAATAAATGGTAATTATTTTTTAAAATTATTTTTATTTAATCAAATATTTAAACACTAATTATTCACTAGGTAAATAATAATTAAAATATAACTACTAAATAAAGTAATCAAAAAAGAGAAATCAAGATTATGCTATTAAAGGGTATAGCCGGCTACACTGTCAAAATTCTATTTATAGGGTATAGTCGTGCGTCTCTATGGCTAAGATATTCTGGCTATACATTTAAAATATTCTATTGTTGAATGGTAAAGCCGATCGGCTATACTGCCAAAATTCTATTTATAGGATATACCCGCTCGGCTATACGGCTAAGATATTTTATATTTATAGAGTACAGCCGCGCAGCCATATGCTTGAAACAGAAAAGTAAAGCCCAGCGGCTATACTCGTTGGGGCCTTGTTTTGAAATTGAAGCCCTAGTGACCTTTTTGAGCGAGGAAAACATTGTTGAAATTAAGTGGAAAACAAGAACCTTGCATTATACTGCATTCATATAATCGGTCCTCGTTGATGGCACCAACAAAATCACCAAGAACCTGCACGGGTAAACAATAAAGAAACTGATGGTTCCGACTAGAAAATAAACAAAAAATTGATAGTGTGAAATGAGGAAAATAGAAAACCTGCAAAAGCTCAGCCAAAGATGAGGTATGTCTTAGTCGTTTCACCCATAGCTTATGAGCAAATTTTTTTCCAAGCACCCAACAAAGCATCTTCTGGCATGACTGACTGCACAACGCAGAGGGAGGTGGAGATCAATATAGCATGGAAAAACATTAAAATTTTTGGGGCGAATAGAAATGTCTTCGATATATAACCTAGAAAACCTGTTTTAAGCATCAGACAATCAAAAGATTCAGGCCCCAAAATCCAACTAAAATAATCCCACTATTTAGTGTTAGCTACCAGAGGCCATAACTAATCAGATAGGGCAGGTGGATGCTAATCAACCATTCTGCTCCATTCACAGCAGTATGCATTTTCATCAATCCCTTCCCAGTAACGCATGCTAAATTCCTCTTTTGGCTTTTCTCTTCTTTTTTTTTTTAAATTATATAAAAGCTATCGGATTTGATTGCACATAAATCTCCAAGTCACATTCTAATTATCCAAACCATGACCACTTAAATTCATTCCTAGGTTGATCCTCAACTGAAGTCCTATTCTCCTCCAATCTATCAAAGATATGTGTAGCTTGAAATCTTTTTAACTGGAGGACATCTTCATTACTATAACAAACAAATATCAGAAAATGCAAAGCTAAATCCAAATGATGGGTTACCTCAATTGCATGCATTGCAGCTAAATCCAAATAGGATCGTTTACCATGTTTGACAGCATTAAGATATAGGTAAAAGAAATTCCACAACCATGAATCAAATGCTTGGATTCGGGTCCATTTCTGTTTCTGTTGTTCTCCTTTCTTTCTAACTTCAAGAACCACAACACCAGATGAAGGCAGAGAATCATTTGCAATTCCAGATAAGTTGTTGTCTACATCAGATACTGGTGAATAAGTGTCTTCTCTAACACTATCCAGCTCAGATTGATCAGATTGCGCCAAGTTGTCAATTCTATCACTATTTACCATTCTACTTGACATCGCTTGGCACAGAAACGCTATTCGTTTCTCTAGGGATTCAATAAGAAGAGCCTCTCGTTTACCCCTGTCATCCAAAACTGACAACAAAGCACACAGAGCCTGCATTTGGTTTAAGAAAAAGCAAGTAAATATTAACTTATACAAGGTCAAGCAATATGTACTACAATCACATTGATCGTATAACAAAAGTTCAGCATAATACCTCTTCTGTATCAATCATCTCCCAGTGACCATCTTCTGAAGATTCGAAATAAACCCTTCTATGTCCAGGGTCATATGCATTACAAGGGCCCAAGAAAAGCCAGTATCTATTGTATCTACGATCAGACCCCAAAAACACAGATTGCATTGGGTGTAAGTCAAACCGCACTTCTCTTTCTTTTCCATTTTTCTCTTTTGTAGAGAATCTCTCGTCAGAGAACTTTGAGATTGACCCTGAAGAATCTATAGGATGAAACTTTAAGTATAATCTTCTTTTGCACCAGTCGTATGTCCTGCATGGACCCAGGTTGGCCTGGGCATGCCATGTTGTTTAGTTGATAACCTCTTAATTTTCGCCCCTGAACCAGAATGAAGACTGCTAGGAATGCATTCAGCAATAGCATTTATAGGATCCTATAAAGGAATAAGAAGAAAAAGAGAGTTGGGCGCCGCTGCGATTTCATCCTGATTGTAAGGAGTAGCCGCCAGGGAGTTGGGCGCCGCCTAGGCCGCCTAGCGCATGCCTAACCCCCGCCTAGGCCGCCTAGCGCCCGCCTATGCCGCCTGGCCCCCGCCTCAGCCGCCTGGCGCCCGCCTACGCCGCCTGGCCCCCGCCTACGCCGCCTGGCCCCCGCCTACGCCGCCTGGCACCCGGCTAGGCTGCCTGGACGGGTCTGGGCTGGCGTTTTGCAGTTGAGGCATCGACCGGTTGAAGCGCGCAGGAGACGGCGACGCTTAAGGTGGCACTGAGGCGCTGCTTGTTATGAAGAAAGACCGAGAGAGAGAGAGATGAAGTCGAAACAGCGAGAGGAAGGAGGCATCTAACCTAACGGGTTAGGTTTAGTAAAATGGGCTTAAACATTGTATTAAAATGGCCCTATATTAAAAAAAGTACAGCCCCGCGGCAATACTCCTCGGGGCCTTGTTTTGAAATTGAAACCCATAAAAGAACATCCTCGATTACATTTCTTTTAAGCTTCCACCCGTAAACTTCAATGTGGAAATCAACAATAACTTTTTCTTTCTTTCAGAATATATAAATAAATTCTTACCTTTCATTCTCAAGTAGAAGCGTTCGTTCCCTTCCCATACAGAGTTACAATAAGCATTACCCAAGTTGCGAAATAAGTCCACAATTGTAGGTTCCCAAAACTTGACATCTAATGTTAGAGATCTCACCTGCAGTCATCTTTTAATGGGGGATCTCAAACCAGAATTCAAAATAATCCCGGAGCTAATATCACTTGCCAACCGAGAGTTGGCAAACAAGCCATTTGAAGTGAGCTCCAGTGCAAAACAACATTCTTCGGAAACATTAAGATTGGAATTAGATTTCCTTTGCAGCTCTCCAGTTCATTGGATCTGTCCCAATCATCAGCAAACGCCCCAGCGTATCAAAAGCATGTCTGTATTCGTATTTGTATTCGTGTTCGTGTTCGTGTTCATGGGTTATACCATGACAGCCCAAACCCTTAATGGACCCCAAGATTATTAGACCCCAAACATTATATCCAATTCAATATTCAATAGAATTTTGCACAGGCACATTAATTAGAGACTACATCCTCATACAATATGTAGAAACAAGATGTCCGTAGCTCACAAAATAAATATAATAACAAGAATAGGCATTTAAAAAATATAAAATAAAATATTATACACAGATTAATATTATGATCACTTGCAGACAATATTTTGGACCGACTGCGTTGCAAGAACAATTTCCATGGTGCAATTCATGTGAGCAGACTTCTTCTTCTTGATCACCTTCATCAGATGTATCTTCCCATCCAATTTAGACGCGGAGGTAATTGGAATAATCCCAGAGCTAATATCACTTGCCAACTGAGACTGAGAGTTGGCAGACAAGCCATTTGAAGTGAGCTCCAATGAGTCCGCCACCTTTCTGGTCGATCGAGCTCTGGCTCTGGCCTCGTACACATTCACCTGCCCAATTCTGGTGCCTCTGTACTCAAATTCGACGATGCCATCTTCGTATTTGAAGTGTCCAAAGTTGGTGTTCTTCACCCCAAACTTGACGTCCATGTCCAAGTTAAATGAAGGGCTGGTGCCGTTGCCAACCTCAAAGTCACTGAAGGAGGCCGATCGAACTCGGAATTTTGGACTTTTGATTTTCATAACAGTGAGTGCAAAGACTGTTATGACTATGACTTGGAACACGGCAAAGACAGTAACGTAAAAGAGGCACCTCATGCGCTTCTTTCTTTTGAGCTCTGCGGGGTCTGCTGTCACTGCAGATTCTTGATCTCTCCGGATGTAGCCGTTTGCCGGGACCAAAGGGTACGGTGATGTTGCTTCTTTCTCAGCTGCCATTTTAATTTCTTTCAACTTCTAGCTTCACAAAGTTTTTTTTGGGTGGGTTTGAGGTTTGATTGGGCAAGTATTTATAGATATAGATATATGCTAAGATCAGAATAGTAGATCTTTCGAAATGGTTAGGAGGAGGATTGAGAATGCACTTATTTTGACAAAGTTTTCAGCAAAGTCTTGTTTTTTGTATTTTTCTTGTCCCAAACAAAGAAGCCGGCTTTGAACTTTGAACTTTGACTTTTCAGGCATATTTTGATGGCGACGTGTACCGTAAATACTTTTCAACCTAAATTATACTTGTCATAATAGTTGCAGAACCTTCTATTAATGAGGATATAATCACACGAAAATGCCAGTCACGGCCTAATCAAATTGCACTGGATGTATAAATTTTTTTTATTTTTTTTAACTCTATAATTTTTGTTTATTATTAATTGTCACCATAGCTGTTCCAAGTATTATTATATTTAGGTGCGTTGATAGGGAGTTTGACACCCACAAACAGAACCGCAAAGGGCACAAGTAGGAAATTTACGCGATTTATGACAGAAAAGGTGATGAGAGAAGGGTTGGTTAAAAATTAAAATCCCAAAGGCGGCTAAGATAGCCCAAGCCTAAGCCTCCTTCAATTGAAAAGGCTTCATTTGCGACGCGTTTGAAAAATGGGGGTTGAAAAATAGAAATTCATGTTCTGGTCTTCTGTATCCGTACAAGTTCAACGACAAATTCTTCATCTCTGTAGGGACAGTATGAACAAGTCATAACTCCAACTTCAGGGGAAATTATGTCAACTTCCCATTCATTTCGAGTTTATGAGAGTGCTGTAAAACATTTTAATTTTATGGGTTGGTGAAAGTTTTGGGCAAAAACAACAGGTGTCCAGTCCATTTGGAAATTGGGCTCATATTTTAAAGTCGGAGCTTTGGGGTGAAGCAGGAGGAGCTTTATGAAGATGTTTGAGGTGATGGCAAGCAAAGGTGTAAATGCCTACATGATGGCCAGCTAGTTTGACACGTAGGTGCCTAGGCGCTAGGTGGGTCCTATTTTTAAAGACATAGGACAGCCGATCGGCTATACTCGGTTTTCCTAATTTTGTTGTTGTTAAAAATAGTATAGCCGGGCGGTATATTGGATTTTTTAACAGTTTTTTTAAAAAGAAACCGTATAGCCGCACGGCTATACACGGGTTCTTCAATTTTTTTTTAAAAATAGTATAGCCGTTCGGCTATACTGTTTTTGACACGTGGAGCCGGCTGTACTCAGTTTTTCAAATTTTTTTCAAAGAAATAGTATAGCCGCCCGGCTACACTCGGTTTTTTCAAATTTGTTTTTAAAAATTTTATAGCCGTCCGGCTATACCGTTTTGACACGTGGGCCCTTAGGTGCTTAGGCACTAGACGGTCTTTTTTTTGTTAAAATAAATAGTATCACCGATCAGCTATACCTATACTTAGTTAAAAAAAGAAAAAAGAAATGGTATGGCCAGGCGGCTGTACTCGGTTATCTAATTTTTTTTTTATAAATAGTATGGCCGTTTGGCTATCCTGTTTGACACATGGGTGTCTAGGCGCGGGTTCCTTTTTTGTTTCAATAAATAGTATAGCCGGGCGGCTATACTCAGTTTTTTTAATTTTTTTCAAAAGAAATAGTATATCCGCTCGGCTATACTCGGTTTTTTCAAAAAAAATTCAACTTCCCATTTGTTTCGAGTTTATGAGAGTGCTATAGAGCATTTTAATTTTATGGGTTTGTGAAAGTTTTGGGCAAAGATGATCGGTTTCTAGTCCATTTGTATATTGGGCTCAGATTTTAAAGTCGGAGCTTCGGGGTGAAGCAGGAGGAGCTTTACGAAGATGCTTGAGGTGATGAGCAAGCAAAGGTATACATGCCAACATGGTGGCCAGCTAGTTTGACATAACATATCATTAACTTTTTCATCATATTTTTGCGACCCGGGAAAAGAAAAGGGCCGTCACATAGAATGTGTTACACATTTCTCACTCATCATCTGGGTTTGTTGATAAACTAGGCAATACTAGTATAGTAGGGGGAGGGAGGACCATGCAGAAAGCTTGACTTGATTGCTTCCACTCCAAAATTATGGTTTACGCCCATACAAAACTAAAGAGAGAATGGTAGGGCTGCTGACCCCTCCAAAATTTGTTCTCTTTATATCCCATCAAATTCAGATGAATCTATGGAACCCAGAAACAGTAATATTACTTCACCAAGAGACATTGAAATTTTAGAAGAAAAAAATATATTATCCTCTCCTTTATCTTGTGATATGTGTATGCATTTGATTGAATATGTCTCTAAGGGTGGCTATGATTGTAAAAATGAAATGAATTTTGCTCCTGTAGCGTATGCTTTAGGCTGAGGAATAACCTTTTCTGTGCGAGTGCGACAAAATTCATACACACATCTCTGCCGGTGGGCCATTTGATGTTAACGTTACTTGGAAATGTGGCTACACCACATAATAATCTGATAGATTTTCAATTCAATACAATAAAGCCTTAACAAACGCTGCCCTCTATGAAATACTCTAAATACAAATTAATATTCAACAACAACCAAGAAACCTTAAAGTTTAAACCCATAAAAATGAAATTAAAATTACCCAAAACAAAAAAAAGAAGAAGAAGAAGGACTATATTGATTTCATTTGCAAGTCAAAACGTGGACAACTTTGGCTTTAGTATCAACATGTACGGTGCAGTTCAAGCTAGCAGACTTCTTCTTCTTGATGACCTTGAAGAGATGCACCTTCCCATCCAACTTGGCGTAGGCAGTCAACGTCAAATTCCCAGAACTCAGATCGCTACTCAACTGAGAGTGGCTTGAAACCTTGTTCGAGTTCAACGACACTGTCACGTTAATCTTCTTTGTCTTTTTAGCTTTGGCTTTAGCCTTGGCAATAGTGCCGTCGCCGACTGCAGTGCCTTTGTACGAGAAAGTGACCTTGCTGCCCTCGAACTTGTAGTGCCCAAAGTTTTTGTTCTTGACGGTAACCAAAGCATTGATTTGAACCTTAAAGGAAGGAGAGGACGGGCTAGAGTTGGCGGTGAGTGAGTCGACAGCAACCGAGTCTAAACGGACTTTGGGAGTTTTGATACGCATGACGAAAATCACAAACAGAAGTATGATTATGGTTTGCAATATGATCCCGGCAGCGATGTAGAGGAAGCATCTGTTTCTCTTCCTCCGTGAATCTACGTTGCCCCTTGTCATGGTTCTTGATGATCACCAAGGCTTTGATTTCCTTTTCTGGGTCGGATTTAGAATAATAGGAACAATAAGCGTTTTTGTTTGTTTGAATATGTGTGGGTAGTGCTAGAAGGAAAGTGTCATTTATAGAAGTTTGACTATAGTTTTGGGTGCTGGCCCTACATATATACATGCTAGTTGTTATTTATACGCCTTTCCAGCCAAGTTGCTGATACTAGCAATGTGGCTAGTCCTCGTTTAATTCCCTTATAGTTGCTGTTTCTTTGTTTGGGTGTTAGCCCTCCTTTGCACCAAAAAAAAAAAAAAAAGATGTTTAGCCGTTAGGATAGGATCTAATGTTTCAAACTGGTATACGTACATTACATAGTAAGTAAGTTGATAATAGGATACGATGTAGGGCAAACAAATACAAGGATACGAAATTGAGTAGCTCAAGTTTGAAATAATATTCGCAGTTTGTGGGGGAAGACAAGCGTATTCTCTTGCCATCCAGATAGGATTCTAGGACGACTTTTGGGTGCTCATAAGTTACCTGTCATGAAATTTTATGTAAATTAATGTTCGATATAACATATAACCTTTTCTTTCTAGGATCAACTCAGTTGTCTTCTGTACCAAAATTATCCATCAAAATCGTCAACTGTATAATATATTTAATTCAGAAAAGACTTGTGTGGGGTTTGAGTATCATCACATGACCACGCTAGCTAACCAAAAAGTTTAAGGGCTCGTTTGGAAGCCAAAAAACACTTATATGGAGAATAACTTTTGAGTGTGAAAAGACTAATAAAACTCTAGTAGTTATTTTCAGTCATTTTAAATTGTTATCTCACTGTATGTGTGATGATCTAATCTGGTCTTAGGGGCTAAGCTTCATGAGATTAATCAAGTATCATGAATACACCATTGGCTCTTTGTTTCTTCAGATCCAAGACGCGTAAATAAATGTTTTGATTATGATGAATATAATTATTCTAAGGTGCGTCTTGCGGGTTTTCAAAGTGATGATCTGAACTGAAAGTTGACCTCCCCCACAAGTACTAGTGCTTGCTTGCAAATTTATGATTCGTCTCGTCTGCCATGAAGTTTTAAGACTAAATAAAATAAAACCCCCAAACAAAATAAAAAGTAAGAAAGACGGGTCGATCATACCATAATTTGAGGCTTCCTGAAATAAAAGCTCATTTGAAAACGGGCCTGCATCTGCATGGGTTTCTCTCGTACATATTCTGATGCCTTTCTTGGTTGTACATGCTCATGTGCTTTCACTTTCTGCCCAACTCTGATTAGTATTAGTTACTCTAGCTACTTAATTGACATTGACAGACTTTTGAGAAATATTATTAACACAAATTTGTATTAGGAAGGAATAAGGTCTAAATGAATGTTAGTCAGTACTTGAAAACAGAAAAACTGAAAAAGAAAAACAAAACATTTGAAGTTCGTGACATGCATGATGCATGCAGCAACTAGTCCTGGCAAAGCAGATTGTCCTGGTTATCGTCATATATGGCCTATGGTGTTTATATCAAATATGAAGCCTTGTGCATTCATATGCATGAAGCAAAAAATAATAAGTAAATATGCAAATGCATCATCATGCGTGTACCATATAGTGTAGGAAGGGATTTGGTCACGGACGTGCAGCTATTTAATGCAAAGCATGTCGTGAAGTGAAGGCAGCCTCATCCTCGATCCAAGTCTAAAAAGGGCTCTAAGACAAAAGCATATGACAGACAGAAGAGCACAGTAGCAGACTCGTGAATTACAACAAGAGGATCCCTTTTCAATATCTTTAACTTCATCAGTTTCCCCCAATTTTAAATTATAATCGCTTTTTCTTTTGTTTTTGTTCAACCAACACACACATTGCCCAATTTACCAACTCTACTTTCACA